CCAGAGCCCGGCTGGCCTGGGAGGAAGCGACAGCAGCGCGGGCCGAGTGGGCGGGATGGGGGCCGAGCAGCGGCGGGAAGTTGCAAACTCGCCAGCAAAGAAATTCAACTAAAGCGAAGCAGCTAAAAAAGCCCGAGGTCTTGGCGTGGGGGCGGGAGGAAGGGGAGCTCCGTGACTGCGGCCGGGGCTGGTTGGGAGCGGAGCGGCCGGGGCTGCCCCCGGGGCGCGCGGGGGCCAACGGGGAACGGACAAACGGCCCCGGAGCTTCGGCAGCAGCAGCAGTTGCAGCAGTTGCAGCAGTTGCAGCAGCAGCAGCGGCAGCAGCAGCGGCAGCAGCAGCGACTATAGAGACGCGCTCTTGCTAGTACTCTTTGTCTTGCCTTTTCCTCCTCTCCCAGTGTCCCGCTGTCCCGGTGTCCCTGTGCCGGTGTCCCTTTCCCAGTGTCCCTGTTCCAGTGTCCCTATCCCAGTGTCCCATTGTCCTGGTGTCCTGTACCGGTGTCTCTGTCCTCCACTTGCTGGCCCGGGCCATGGCCCCGGCCGTTCCCCTCTGCCGGCCGAGGCCGCCCCGTCCCCGTCCCCGTCCCCGGTTGTCCCGGCGCAGTCTCGCCCTCGCCCGGCTCCCGGCGCGCCGGCTGTGGCGCTGCTGGGCGCTCCTGTGGGGCTGGCTGTGGGACGGGCTCGGCCTCGCCGCCCCTTGGCTCCGCCTGGCTCGAGCCCGGCTCCTGCCGGGGCCAGTGGGGGACGCGGGCGCCGCGGCCGCTGCCGCCTCCTCGGGGGGTTCCCCGGCCAGAGCTCCGCCGCTCGCCAGCCCGGCCGCCGGCAGCGAGCCACTGCTGCCCGCTGCGGGTGGGGAAGCCCGGCCCGGGCCGCTTGAGGGGCGCTCGGGGGCCGTGCTGGGCCCTGGCCCGAACGCTCCCGGCCACGTCTCGCCCGCACGGAAGGCCAAGGAGCCGCTGCACGAGCGCTACCGGCTGGAGTCGCTGCTGGGCAGCGGCGGCTTCGGCCGCGTCTACGCGGGGACCCGCCTGGCGGACGGAGCCCCGGTGAGTGCAGGAGGAGGAGCAGGAGGAGGGGGGGAAGAGAGGGAGGAGGAGGAAAAGGGGGAGGAGGAGGAGGGGGAGGAGAGTGGGGCGGGCGGTGAGCTCAACCCGCCGTTCCCCTTGGCTTGCAGGTGGCCATCAAAGCCGTGTCCCGGGATGGCATCCGGCGCTGGGGCGAGCTGGTGAGTGAGCGGGGCCGGCGGCAGAAAGCGGGGCGGGACGGGCGGGGACGAGCCGAGGCCCGGGAGGGTGGAAGCCACCGGGAGCCCTGGAGGGAGAGCGGGCGTGGGCTCAGTGGGGGACGGGGAGCATCCAGGGCTGGCGGAGGGGGAGCAGGCAGACAGGCACGGCATCAGCCCCACTGACGACCCCGTGGTCCCCCCGCAGCCTGACGGCACCCGGGCACCCCTGGAGATCGTG